CGACTATTATGTTCATCTGATTCCAGGTCTTTGTCATCGCTTTCAATGGATTTATGTTTTCTTTTTCTTGAACTCGTTCTGCGATTATTGTCTGATATTATCTCTAAATCTATATGTTTTTGACTTTCATTTGAAGTACTTTTCTCATCACTTGTTTCATTCAAATCCTCTGATTCTTGACTCTCGTCTATGTCTTCACTTTCATCGCTTGAATTACAATTGATATCAATTTCAACGACCTTTTGAGCACTGGATTCGTGTCCAACACTACTATTGAAACCTATTTTACAAATTATATAAAAGTAGTATTTTGTAAATGAATTAACTTTTTATAGAAATACCTTTTGAATAGTCAGTCATTTGAATGAAACAACTTTTGGTATCTTTTAACGCGTCGATTTGTTTAACGAATTTGTCATCAAAATTAATAGTAAACAGGGTATTATTTTGCAAATTTTTCAAATAGTTTTCGTATTTCACAGCAATTAATTGATATCTAATTAAATCCAGTTTCAAACGACTATTTTCCCGTCTCAACTGGCTTACAATTGAAAGCAACTCATCATTTGATCCCATGTTTTAAGGTCTAAGAAAACTAATTTTTATTATAATTACAATTATATTAAATTTGCATTTACCAATTAATTATGATTTTAAGCTAAATATCTGTATCAAGAGCACATGCAAACATTTCATGTGATCCAAAGTAATACCAAAATATGCGATAATCTTTGAAAAACAGGTTTTACTTTAGGTTTTAGCATGGCAATAGGCTATTGCCAATAGCAATACAGTATTGCCAGTAGGTTTTATTGACAAAATCAATTACCAAGGGTATCAACTTATCAACATATCGCACAAACGGTATAATAAAACACAGCAATAAAATGTTTAAACATTTCAATCGTTGAGCATTTATTATCTATATTTAAAAATTTACATATTCATATTTATAACACAGAATGATTATATTTAAAAATAATGATTAGTTAAACACACAATTATTAATTAAGAAAAATGAATTTTAAAAATCCTTAGAAAATACAATTATCATAAAATTAGAAAAATTACAACAAATTGAGGGTCCGTATGCATTAATAGCGGATAGCATTATATTTTGCTTAAATATAAAGGTAACTAATGCTAGAGTCAATAAAAAGGATCAAATTCAAAATATTTATATCTATGACATATCAAACTAGTCTTATCAGTAGGTATTCTCACTGACCATTGGCTATTAGCCACTGATAAGACTAGTTTGATATGTCATAGATATAAATATTTTGAATTTGATCCTTTTTATTGACTCTAGCATTAGTTACCTTTATATTTAAGCAAAATATAATGCTATCCGCTATTAATGCATTTAATGGACCCTCAATTATTAAATGCTATAACTTATATACAAACATAATAACTCTAATCTATTAGTTTTAATCTCAATTATAGTCAAATTCTTGTAAATCACATTAATTCCGACAAATCAAGCAGTTGTTCCCCCCAAAGGTGTATTTCCGGTGATGGGACATGACCCTTATGTGTAGTCATATGTGTCTGCAAGTCCTCATCGCTACTAAACTGGTGCTCACAGCCAAACCACCCGCACCGGAGGTCTACCATATCTGCCACCGACGGCAGTACTAGATCTGTCTGACCCTGTATTTCCAATAAGGGGTTCACAGCCAACTCATTACCCCTTTCATAGGTTTCGTAAGACTTTTGTTGTTTGTGTTTATACTTATAGTTGGGATCTTTGTGTGCTTTCTTGTGATTACTGTTATAAGCCCTCGATTTGGTTATAAATAAGCAGTCGTTGTGCGGGCAGTGAATCCACGGCACGTCCGGGAAAGACATGGGATGTGCGCCCAACTGATGCTGTCTTAAGTTGAGATCAGTTTTAAACACTTTATTGCAGTCATCGATAGAACACTGGAACTCGTGTTGGATCTCCTGTTCCCCGGAATGAGCGGTCATTTTGTGGAGCTTTAGCCGCGAGTTTAGGAACGCCTCGAAGTAACAGCCCTCGCGATCGCACCGGTAGTTCGAGCGACGATTGTATGCCTGACCTGACACTGAGGCCTGATTTTCATCGACTTCTTCGTCAAATGAAGTGCTATTATTGACAACACTTTCGATGGCTTCGCTTATATGCCGTTTCATTGAATCCATGGCCTCTCCGGACGTGTTTTTAAAATACTTCGACACATGAATGCAATCCGTGTCCTCATTATCAACACAGGCTTTGCTATCACTTCCACTCGTTTTGTGTTTCCCTTTACTGGACTTTGTTTTGCTATTAATGTCTGAATTAGTCTTTGAATGGATATCTCTTGGACTATCATTAGATCGACTGTTGTGTCCATTAGTTTCAGACGTATTCCTCCACAACGTCTCTATCAGAAGACTCTCATTCGTGTTATTCATCACAACAACGATATCATCACTCGTATTATGACTATCGAGGACTTGTTTATCACGTGATTTAAGCACTTCTTCAGCTTCCGACACGTGTCCATCGTTTTCATTATCTTCGCTCTCTTTGATCACTATATTAGATACAAATCAAAAACATTAAAATTTATTTACAAGAAGTTAACCACAAAACTAAACTCTAATAGACATACCGTTTGATAGGCTCTTGATCTTAACGACACAATCCTTGGCACCTCTTAAGGCATTGATGTCTCGTTGGATCTCATTATCCACGACATCGGCACCAATTGGGCGACCATTGAGTAAATGATTGCAGTATTTGTGGTATTTATTAGACAACAACTCATGTCTTAATAAATCGGTTTTCAGGCGACTATTTTCACGCCTCACATCCCATACCAGTCGACACAACTGATCCCGCGTTAGACCACTTAAGTCACCGCCAATTGATCCCATATTTAACACATGTTTTGAAAGTTTTTTAAAAACCACTCAT